ATAGTGGACTGCAACAATAATTTCATTTGTTCCCCAAGCCTGAAAGGAGATAAAGAATGCATTAGACTCTATTTCAGGTTGTGTTGTCAGTTTTACAATGAACTTCAGAAACACAAAACAAAAGAAAGGAAAAAAAAAAGATCTTTTAATTTAAAAATTTTAAGACAAAAAAATAATTCATCTACTGTTCTGCCATTTCATTTCTCTACTTCAAGACTGAACAAGGCAACAAAATCATGTTTGCAGAGTAGCCCTTTGTAAAAAGCTTGCCAATGTAGTTATTACAATGCTTTAACAATCCCAGCAAGCCCCTGTGAATGTCCCTGCTTTAATTCTACTCTGTTTAGAAAGCGAATGGTTAACGACCTACAAACCCTGAGGTAATCCTCACTCAGACCTCTCATTCTCTCCCCTGCATTACTGTCACTAAGGATATTGAGCATTCCCATGCTTTCTGTTTATGAAACATATTTTCCACTCCATTGGCTTCTACACACATTTATCCTTTCGCCCCTTCACCTCCCCCCTCAGCTAATGTAAAGTGGGATCCTTAGTTTGCTTCTAAGATACTGATAGAACAGTTTGAAAGGGTCAGGATCAATAAAGAAAAGAGCAGTAAGTAAGACATTTTTTAGACCTAGAAGACTTTGGTTTGGCTGAACCCATGCTTTCTCATGTTGTTTCCTGCAGGGTACTCTGTGTATAATAATAATTCAGGGAGTGAATACATTTGTGTGCAAATGCAGAAATGCTTATTGAACATCTCAGTTGAAGAGAGTTTGGGAAGGAGACAACAGAGGACTGGACTGGGACACAGCACACTTAGCTTCTATATGAAGCTGTCTGACTCAGCTTAGTGGCTCTGGGAAGATAATTTCTCTCTGGTTTATTTTGTATACGTTAGAAATTTATTGAGAAAAAGTTCTGTGTGAGACTGATAACACGTAACTTTTCCCCCCAAAGTATTCAGTCAGAATACATTCCTTCTTCTTTTACTCTTCCCCTCTGCTTAACTCTACTTTACTGCTGATAGTTTTTCTGTATAAACAAAACCAAGTCGCCATCCCCACCCCTAAAAAGAAACCCTCCAGTTCTCCTTTGCTTTGGATGCAACTGTTACCGGAAACTCCATATAGCCAATGACGCACAAACACTACAGCAGTTACTGTGCCTCTCGTCTCCTTTTAATCTAGAAACAAATCAGGTAAGAGTGAAGTGATGTGTTCATTGGAAAAAGGAACACATAACACTATCGCCGATATGGGAATAGTGGAGTCTCTCAGCCCATTTTCTTCTCCCAGTTAAAAAGGCTACCACTGCACCTCATAAATGTCCTCAGGTTTCACTATGGTGCTGAAGCACAAAGTACTTCCTTAGTAGTACTAATCCATAGATTTTACCCTCCTTCATCTTGCTAAATTAGAATTCACAAACTTTTTTTGATCAATGGTTCCTGCTATCAGTGGCTCCATCCTTCAAATCTAGGAGGTCTTCTTTTTCTCACAAGCAGTCAGGGAAGAAAAGCCTTCTTTTATCTGCCAGGTTGACTCCAAATTCTTCTCAGAACTTGCTGCTGAGCTGTCTCTTATCTATGACACATCAGGTCCCCACACGTGTGTAATATGCCGGTCGTACTTATGAAGCCTTTTTACTTTTTGTGCCCCTGCCTATGCTTAGTGATCAGTTGAGTCATCCAGCCCTGCACTGCAGGATGACCAAATGCTACTCCATTCCTTTTCAGCTACTTAGGGCAACATGTAGCTCATCTTGACTAACTGAACCTCAGAACAATTTTAAAAGTGTTGACTGTCCTTTGTTCTGCAGGAATACCTTTTATAACTTGGGGTCTAATAGTTGTCAATGTTGATAATGCCTAGTCCCTTCTGAAACTGATGGATGATGCTAGGTGATAGCCTGTGGCTGAAAAACATTCAGGGTGGGAAAGGCATTTGAGAGATACATTCCTAATATGGTATGATTTAGGAGATGATCACTGGACAAGAGGTGTTCTTCTTAGTTAGATTACTGTACTTCACAGAATGAGTCAGATTTGGACCTTCTAAGGGCCTGAAATGTTTGTTGTAAGACACTTATCTCTAACCTTCTTCTGGTGAGCTGCCTATAAATTCAACTTAATTACATTTGCAGAAGAAACCTGACAACAGCTTTTCTAAATAAAGACAAAAGGGATCCCAAAGCCTAAGTGTGTTAAGTGTTTGCTTTGGATGAGTGTAGGGAGGCTGTTTTTTTAGCCACTGTGTGTTTACCTGACAGTTTTCTGATAAGCAGTGTGATACCGAAACCCCACTTTGTGACAGTGCTAACACCATCTGCCAGGTGCTGATAGCTCGCTGAATAATGCTGTCATCAGCACTCAAGTGCTGATGGAAAGTTATTGCTTCAGTAACCACTACTGCTTTCATCTTCCTTCTAATTGGTTGCTGCCACTAAAAACTATTATTCCAAAAAAAAGAAAAGAAAATCACGCGTCATTTTTCTTTATCATGATGAATCACTTTTAGGCTACCTTACAGTGCCATCGTTGTGTATTTATTGCTTTCTGCTTCCTGCCAATTTTACTTATCTACACTGTAGAGTGAACTATATTGCCTACCTATGATTGCTCTCAGTACCTGATCTGGTGACAAATCCTCACAGAAAGTTTCACTAGACCTTGATATAGTGAAATACCTGTTAAGGGCATACTCTGCTAGACACAGTGGGCCAGTCTGCCTCATGAGGTAGGGCCCAGTGCAATCATTTGCGTAATCTTTATTTGGTGTCAATTGTTACAGCTAAATTTGTACCAGCTGAAAAACAGGCCAGATAGTTCAAAGAAAATGTATACAGAAAATTTTGGAAGTATTTTGATCATCAAGAAACATTCAAATGCATTCACTTAAGTGTAAAGAAATATACTGTGCAGGCTGCACAGACATTCATGCCCCAGAAAGTTCACTGATAGTGACTGAGAAGGAAAGACAGCCTTTATAGTTTTACACTGCAGCATTGAGCTACTAAAATAAATATATGTGAAGAACCTCAAGTGTTTAGAACGGCTGAGAACATAATGTAATATAACTTAAGCCAGAGTTATATTATTATTCTCACTTGCGTCAGTATAAATGTGGACTGAAGCTATTTTGGCTTCAAAATGCTGTACTGGAGATTTTGGTTTGGATTCCTACTTCTTGGCAGGATTTACCTTTCTTTTGCAGGATGTTCTGTCTTGCTTTAATGAAAGCTAGGATGTCAGCATCAGCCTGGCTGTCTCCAGTCAGAGGAATAGATGTACTAGAACTTGGTGGGGTCCTGAAATAAGAAAGTAAACTTGAGGACCCAACTGAGTAAGAAGGTTATTTTCCCATTCCATTATCTCCTCTCTTTTTTCAGCATGGAGGACTTTGTTCTCCAGATAAGTTGTTAGAGATGGCACAGTTCAGAGGAGAATCAAGCTCAGGACTTCTTAATGCTCTTATGTAGATTCTTAAGATTAGCCAATATCTTTTTAGTTTGGTAGGGCTACATGCTCATCAGCTATAAAACCTCTCACAAAGGGATAAAAATATTTTACTGCTGATTCAAAGACTTACTGCCAAGCGGGAAAGCCTAGTATAGTGAGTTTACCAAAGAAATTATGGATGTGACTATGCCATGTGTTTGTTTGCTTCAGGAAAAACTGCTGCTGTTTATTTGAACAGATCAATAGTACTTTTGCCTACTGTAAGGGAATTAAGTTTTCAGATGTACATAGAAGTAAACAATCACATGACATTCATGACATTTGCTGACAGATGCAACTCCTTTGTGCTGCTGAGTCTTCAGTCCCAGCTGAGATCTCGTATCTATGCAGTTAAATCATTGACTTACCTCTGCTTTTGATAGACCCTCCGGTGGTATAAAATGATGTAGTACCATGAAGCTATTCTAATCAGCTAAGAAAGCTAAGAATTTGGCCCTGTGTCTTTAGCCTTGTTTAAAGATAAAGCACTAATGGTGAAGTGAGAAATATAGTGATAAAAATTACAATATGGAAGGACAAGTGGAACTGAAGGGAGAAACTTTTTTTTTACATATCCTATCTTTGTAATTACGGTTATTTCCACTGTTCCTTACTGACCGTTGCAGTAGAATGTAATTGTGCCTGACATAAACAGAAGTCTGATATCCTTGTCTTTGTGCTACTAATTAAGTCCTCAGTTGCTGAATTAGTGAACCAAAATGGAAAAAAAATATAGAAATGACTATGAACTTAGTAAAATATCTCTTTTTATGTAATTTACAAGGTGATCTCAGAACACCAGTAAAGGACTATTCTCTTATTGATTTTCATTTGATTAACAACAATATAAAAAATAAAAAATACACAATATATTTGAGAAGGTACTGTTTAAATTCTATTTTAGCTTCTCTTTTCCTTCTGTTTTTCTTAAACATAAATGCAATTTAAAACATTAGGTTTTGGGCGATGAAATTTTCCATGACTTTTTGCTGTTCTAGAAATGGATTGTTTTGGAAAATGAAAGAAAAAAACCTTTGTGATTTGTTCTTACTAATGCAGTAGGAAAAATAGTAATTTAACCATATTTTCCTAAGGGCCTTAATAGCCAGAACTGTTGAGCACAATAAGAGTGTAACTTCTGGAAGTATACTTGGCATGATGTTTTGGTGGGAGAAAAGAACATGGAAATGAGCACATTAGAAAAAATAGAGACGCTGTCAAAAAAAAAAAAGTAGTTTCTGTTAACCTGCTAAGCTAATTTTCACTTAAGCAGTACCTCTTTTGAGAAAACATGACATGTAACCTTTGCCAAGCCTGACACACCTCAGCTGCTGGTGTCATTTTATTTTACTAGAATAATTTGTAGGAGGGAGATTCAGAATATTTTAAGGACAAAATCACAAAAAAATGTCTGCCTGCATTCTGCAATACTTACATACTCTGATGTCTCTTCCTTTCACATGTTTTTATTTGCTCTTTCAGAGTCCCTTTCTCTTGCTGAGAAGACAGAGTCATGAGGATTCATAAGTTTATGGGGAAAAAAGCCTCAGGCCAAACAAGAAACCACTTCTTTAATGCTGATAATGCAGCTACTTGATGTAAAGCTATGGGACAGCTTTGGTGTTGTTTAGGAAGTTGGAGGAAAATCTGGAATTTCAGTTTTATTTTTGTTTTTCAAGGAGACTGTTGTTAAAGAGACTAGAGTGTTATCTAGGCATTATATTACTTACTGGTTTGCTTTTTCCTCTGAATAGCCCAGGTACGCTTCTTACCTTGTTTTTAAAGCAGGGTTACTAGAAGTGATTGAATTGTTTTTCCCAGCTGGATCTTCATTAAGACTGACTCTTGTGGTCTCTGAAAAACTGGAATGGGAGCAGAAATGAAGGAAAGCCCTTGTGGAGGGAATATTAATACATGCTAAGTAACTACAAAGAAGCTGTTTTTCAAGGGTTTTTTATCTATATAAAGCACTTGTTGTTTACTGGAAGAGGATTTTCAGTTGAATCCATGTGATGATTAGGTTTACGTAGAGAATGTAGTTATGAAAGAATGACAAATAAGCTCATAAAGATTATACTTTTAATATTTGCCTTCTAAGCAGGGCTTGTAAAGCACTTTGATGTATCTGATGTACAGTTTGTAATGGTATATTTGGTTCCCAAACTGACTATTAGCCAAATGAGGCCTTAGCTCATTTTCCATTCTTTCTTTAGTCAGGCAAAATTATTATCAAAATCAGTGGGAGACTGGATAAAAACTCAGTGAGAACCTTGGGATGTGGCTTGTTGATGACAGCCAAATATATTGCAAACAGCTGTTGTACATTCCTGCCCCTGCAGATATCGTTATCAAGGAACCTCTCCAGTAGGAAGGCAGATTTCTGCCACAGGATGTCTAGGGACTCTCTCCTTTCCCGAGGGGTTGCGTATGCTACCGGGTCTGCTGCCAATCTTAGAGAAACTGAAACACTGAATTACTCAGGTTTAGGATTTTTCCAGTAGATGGCAGGATTGGCAAGTTCTTGCTTTTCTAACTCTGCACTAGTTTGTTCATTGTTGGCTGATGAATTGATATTTCTGGCAGAGAAATTGAAAAAGGAAAGAAATTTATTACTAAAATTTTACTGTATTATGCTCTGCCAGGTTCAGTTTTGCAGAAGATATTGTGCCCAAGAGTGTAAGTCATTTTCAAATGAACAGCTCCAAGTTTACTGAATGTTTCTCTTTAACTCCTCAAGTCCCATACCATTTGCACCTTCCTAGATGGATTAAAATAACCTCAAGACTCAGCCTAATTCAACTAAAGCAATATCATATTTAATGTTAATAATATTCCCTACTTTATTACTCCTATATATTACAAGAGCTAGAAAAGATGTGTGAAGTTATTACCTACTGTGTGGTTTAACAATATCTGGGAACTTCACATCATAGTTCTGCTTTAGGATTTCCTGAACATTTTTTCCATTGATTTGGCAGTTCTTAAAAACTAAGTGATTTAGGGTCTTAAATTCAATTTTCTAAAAGGACTCTGTGCCTGTGCCCTAAGATACCTAGGCATCCAAGTCATATAACCATGGTTTAATAAATCACTACACATCAACTGAACCATAGCAACCATCCATGACTCTGTTCTTAACCTGCAACAAATATAAGGTAATGTCACTTAATGTGATCCTTTTTCATTGCTTGCTTTTCATTGAAATAAGCTTCTTTCCTTCTTATTTGCCATGAACAGAATGTATAATTTTATAAATACTGTGAGTCAGCTGAAGTAATTTATTTTTAAGCTGTAGTAGTTTATATGTTTGAACTAATATTTTCCATTAAATTTGAATGAAAATTATTCCCCAAAATTGTTAAATCCCCATTTTAAAGGGGACTTAGATCCAGATCCGTTAAAAAAACCTAGACGCTACAGGTGTGGCAGGGTTTGATCTCTAGGGATCTCGCTTTCAGGTGGATTCCTGGACCCAGGACAACATGCCAAAACTTGCCTTAGAGTGCTCTGGGAGAAACGGGCACCTGAGGAAGGAGATATTAAAAAAACCTCTTAGACTGAGTGAGGTGATGCCCAGAATCGGGAAATTAACATTACTGTGCTCAGAGGTGGACCTTGAACTTCTACCTTCTGCCTGTGTGGTTACAGCCAGACATTTTTGTCTGGGGGATGCAAACTCTTCTCCTGTAAGTTAAGGAAATTTATAAGGAAGCTTATAACTATTTTTTGTAATGACTCCAAGTGCTTCCATATAAGAGGTTAACAATTAGAGTACTAATCTAACAAATGAGTCCCTCAGCTTGGCAGAGCTCAAATCCATGTTTTACATATCCCAGAGATTTCTCTAATCCCTAGGCTAGAGGGATGGCCTGTATGGGGATAATTTGCATCCTTCATACTGAAGCTCTGATAATGTTTCTATGGCATTGCAAGGTACGTTGAATCATTAGGGGATGAAAGAGTG